CTAAAGACTTCTAAGATAATGGGGGAGGGGGATCACCCCAACCTACTCCAGCTCAGCGCTCCAAAACCAGGAAAATCCGGCGCCAGACACTTCCGGGAAGTGCTCCCCTCCCCCGCCCTGCGCACCAGATGGCCGCTTCTTACCCACTCTGGCAAAAAACTGGGAACTTATTCTTTGATAAGAATTAAATATAAGGGCTGGGGAGATAGCTCCGTGGTACAACGCCTGTCTGGCAAGCGCAAGGTCCTGAGTTTGAGTTCCAGTTCCAAAAATTTTTAAAAATAAAATAGAAAAGAATTAAACATAAGGTTTCTGAATGCATGCAGCAGTCATAATTGATGTTGGAGTCCTGCCAGCTGTGGTGGCGCATGCCTGTAATCCCAGCACCCTGGGAGGCTGAGGGAAGGTCCCGAGTTCGAGCCCAGCCCGGGCAGTTTAGTTACTTAGCAAGAGTCTATCTCAGAATTTAAGGATAGATAGATAGATAGATAGATAGATAGATAGATAAATAAATAAATAAATAAGGAGTGAACCCTGGGTTCAACTTCCAGTACTGAAAAAAAGGAAAAAAAAAAAAAAAGGCCCTTAAATAAATACAGACAGGGCGAGTGTGAAGACTCACTAGCCCTCTGCCCTCCTCCCCCGCTTAGCTCCTGGAGTGCCAGCAGTAAAGCACACGGCGGAAATCATTTCTGGTGAATCTGAGCAGGCCAAGAGGAAAGCCTTAAAGTCACCAGCGTTAGGATTTCCTCAGCGAATGACCCAGCCTGATCATCTTACAGCGATGCCCTTGCTCTCAGTGCAAGATCACAAGAAGTACTAGAAAATCTGTACTGTGAAACCTAGAGACCGAAACAAACGGGAAATGACAGTTGGGAAACAGGAACACGCTAAGGATTAAAAAAAAGAAAAAGAAAAAAAAAAAAAAAAAAAAGGAAATGTACTAAGGGACAAAAGAGTGTTAAAAAAAAACCCCAAAACCCATCTTTAGTTTCTTCAGGCAGATCGTAAGGAAAAATTGCAACCGTGAAAGGGGAACTGGGTACTTAAAAAAAAAAAAAAAAAAAAAAAAAATTCTGAGAACAAAAGAGCTACTGAAAGCACAATAAATAAATTTAAGAAGTTGGGAAAAATCTCTCAATAAATAGGATAAGAGACAAAGACTTAGAAAGTAACAAAAAATGATTTTTCAATAGAGAACTAGTCCAAAATATTCAAGATACAAGCACCAGGCATTCCAGAACAAAAACAGAAATGAATGGAGTGCTGGGGAAGGCATTAGAGGAACAATAAAAATTTTCCAAAGTTTAGGGACCTGAGTTTTCAAAGGGGAAGGGCTCAGAACAGTAGATGAAAATAGACGCATGCTAAGGCGCATTGTCATAAAACCGCAGAACCTGGGACCAACATTAGGAAAAGCTCAAGTTCCTACAAACAGGTCACATGAAAAAAGCAAAAAAGATCAGGAATCAAATTGGCTTCAGACTAACCAAAAACTACAATGGAAGCTAAACTGAGAGACAATGGAGAAATTATTTCAGAATTCTGAGAGGATTCTACATCTGGTCACATTATTACTCTAAAATAACAGTATATATATTCAAGATTTCCAAATATAACCTCATGTGTCCTTTTTTTTTTTTTTTTACTTTTTTGAGATAGGTTCTCACTGTAGCCTGGTCTTGAACTCACTACATGACCCTCAAACTCACAGCAGTCTTCCTGCCTCAGCCTCCCAAGTGCAGGGATTATAGATATGCACCACCATGCCCAGCTGACGTGCATCTCTTTGTAGAAAGCTACTTGAAGACACCCTGCCTGCCTACATACGTCCACACACACAAAAGCAGAAATGAGAAGAAGAAAAGACAGGAGATACAAGAAACAGTTCTACCTGTGAAGACACAGGAAATGCACAGGAGGTTGATGAAGGGAGATCCCAAGATCACATCTCTGCAGTGGGTACTGAGGACAAATAGACCAAACTAAACAGGGCAAAAGGTTATAGGAGAGACCTCCTTAGGAAGATAAAATTGACAGAAAATCTAATAGAAATGAAATTCCTCAAAGAAGGCAACTGGCCAAGAGTTAGAGATTGAATTATTAAGAATTACATGGAGCTGGGCGTGGTGGTACACACCTGTAATCCAAGCCCTCGGGAGGCTGAGGCAGGAAGATCTCCTCAAGTTTGAGGCCATCCTGGGCTTCATAGAGTTCACGGCTAGCCTGAACTACATAGTGAGATTCTTGGAGCACTCTCTCATACCTGAATGGTTCTTTTCGTCTGGACAAATGGGAGGAGTAGAATCCTGTTCCCTTTTGCACTCAGATACAATCATGTGACTAGTTCTCTCCAGTGGGTTTGAGATGTTAGATGTGGCAGGTTTAAAACACAGCCAATTTCTTTGACATTCTTCCTGTAGTTTGTTACTACAGTGTAACTTCTCTCTTGACTCATGTGTAGGATAATTAGTTCTGAGGAAAAGGAAAAGTTGTGCAGGAAAGAAAATGAAGTCACAGTTTACTCCAGGGCTCAACAGTGAAAAGTAGCTATGTAGTCAGAGGAACATAAATGCTAAGAAATGAACTTACAAAAATTATGGTAAAATGATATTGGCAACACGGGGGCACAGGCAACGGAAGAATGCAAGGTACATACACACTTGCAACAAACTCAGACTTCGAGAAAAACTCCATGTTTCAAGTGCCTTGAAAAGAAAAGCTGAACATTCAGAGATAGAATGAGAGCAAAAAGCATGAAGATCAATCATACGTTGCAGAATGTGTCAAAATCCTATGAAACAAAGGAACGTAGAGAAAGCCATATAAAGCCAGACAGTGCTCACAGAAATGATGAGAGAGTTATAACCCAAGAAAATGCATTCTTTAATTATGTCTTCTTTTTTGTTTTTGTTTTTTTTTTGTCTTTTTGAGACAGGGTCTCACAATGCAGTTCAGGCTGACCTTGAGTTCATTTTGTAGCCCAGGCTGGTCTCAAACTCGCAAAGACCTTCCTGCCTCAGCCTCCCAGGTGCTGGGATTACAGGCGTGCGCCACCACGCCCGGCTTATGTCAGATCATATAATCCCTGGGCTGTATGGGAAATAAAGTAATCTTGAGAAGCCGTACATTGTCTCATTATTTACCACAGACACAGACAGCACTGGAATGAGTGCTGGAGTCTTTCGTATTTCCTGATACCACTGAGAAAATAAACATTATTTCATCATCACTTTGACAATCCATGAAGCTAGAAACATTTTGCATTAATTTCCAAATAAGCTATTTTGATTTTCACATATAGCTTGTTCTAGATTACAAAATGCACTAAAAATTACAATTTGAATTACTATCAATTTAAAACTTTTATTTTGCTTTTGTCTTTTTGAGACCAGTCTCACTATGTTTGTCCAAGCTGAAATCAAACTTGAAATCCTCCTGCCTCAGCCTCCCGATTAGCTGGGATTATGGGTGTGCATCACCATACTACTAATTTAAATACTACCAATATAACTATAATATTTTCTAGAAAAAAATACGTATATATGGTGTGTATGTGAGTACATGCAAGGATTTGACCCATTATCTTTTTTGCGTTTTGTTTGTTTGTTTTCTTGTTTTTTTGTTTTTTGAGACAGAGTCTTGCTATGTAGTCCAAGCTGGCCTTAAACTCACTTATGTAGCCCAAGCTGGCCTGGAACTTACAACAATCCTCCTGCCTCAGCCTCCTGAGTTGCTGGGATTACAGATGTGTACCACCACGCCTGACCCATTATCCTTTTTGACTTTATAAATACCTACCATAAATATTACAAGGAAATAAGATCTTAAAATTTCTCTATTTTATTCTCCCATTTCTTCAGCGTCTGAATGCTACCGAGGTGCAACCTAATAGGTTATGAACTTACTGTTTTTTTTAAGAGTAGGAAGAAACAAAAGCAAACTCTTACCTCTAATCATCTCAGTGGAAGACCTCCAAATGATATAGGGGAATGAAACTCCCAACCTAGCAGGCCCAAAAAGCTGAGTTCACATTCTCTAAAACAAGGAATGAATTCTAGGAACCATGAAGGTTAAGAGAAGGGAGAATTTATTGAGAGAAAGAAAGCTTCTGTCTGAGAGGGACAGGAAAGTGAGGCAGGGGGCCCGGAAAGTGAGTGGCCCCGAAGGTATTGACTTCTTTATTTATTCATTTACACACAGGCATAGCACTTGGGAATGCCCAGTTTTAAACCCAAGAGATACAGCACACAGCAATGAATATACAGACAGAAATCCTTGCTGTCATGAAGCTTATCTTCAAATAAGCTGAAAAATATGATACAGGCTGTCAGAATATGTTAATTGCTACAGAGAATAATAAAATGTAAAAGGTACAGAGAGTGGTGGGATGGTAAGAAGGCCTCACTGTCAGAAAATAATGATTAGAGGGCTGGGGATTTAGCTCATCAGCACAGCGCCTGCCTGGCAAGTGCAAGGTCGTGAGTTCGATTCCCGGTACCGGAAAAAAACAAAAATAAAAGAAAATAATGATCAGTCTTGAAAATAAGAGGTGGAGCCTCGCGTGGTGACACACGCCTGTAATCCTAGCACTCAGGAGGCTGAGGCGGGAGGATCATTGCAAGTTTGAGGACAGCCTGGGCTACAAAGTGAGTTCAAGTCCAGCCTGAACTGCATAATGAAACCTTGTCTCAAAAAGACCAAAAAAAAAGAAAAAAGAGAAAATAAGAGGTGGACACAAGGAAATTGAGTCACATATTCAGACCTGATTTGTATGGAAAGACCCTGGAATTACACCCACAAAAAGAATTTAAATGTGTGCATGAAAACATGATTGTCCTAACTTAAAAAGGTCAAGTTTCAAAATCTTAGGCAAGGGCAGGGACTGTTATTCAGTAATGACAGAAGGAGTGGAAAGACTTGCGTTTTAGTCTATGGACATCGGTCCTAAGGGCCAGCTTTACAAGGCAAGAGAAGCAGGTAAAGAAAGCATCAACGCAATGACTGTTTCAGAAAGGCAGAAGGAATGTAAAACCGCGGCGAAAAAGAAGCATTCGTGAGGCTAATGAGTTCGCAGACCGTGAGCAGCCAATAGCCTTTGACATCAAAGTGTTTCTGTCCTTTAAATGACTGTTCCACTCTTGGCAAAGCCACGGGGTGGAACATCCGGTTTAATTTACCTTAGCAAGGGCTCAATATTTTGTTGCTTTTAATGGAAACTTACGCGTATCCAACAAAGTTCATGATAACATGTAAGATCGGTATCGTCTTGCCACTTAACATTTTATATAAAAGTAAGCTTTTTTTTTTGGAGACAGGAGCTCACTATGCAGTTCAGGCTGGCCTTGAACCCACTATAGAGCCCAGGTTGGCCTGGAACTCACGGCAATCCTCCTGCATCAGCCTCCCAGATTATGGGATTAAAGGCTGCACCACCACGCCTGGCTCTAAGTAATCTTCAGCACTTCAGAGCCCACAGAGTTTTATCCTTCAGATGACAACAGCATCTTGTTCCAGTAACTTCTAGGAAACTGGAAGATTCCTAATTCCCAGGCATTGACTGCATAGTCATATATGAAATAATCTTTGTAAATAAAAGCAAACTGCTGTTGCTGTTAGATGACCACTTGTCTATCTATTAATTCAGGAAAAAATTAAAGGGAGGAAAATGAAACAGCTAAAACCTTTTTCCATAAACAAGGAAACCATTTTTCTTTTCTGTTATTGTAAAACAAACATATGTCTAAGATGAACTTTTGGGATGAATTAAGAAAATACTGTACAGAATACAATGAAATATTCAGCCGTTAAAAATAAGAAGGCAAGCTGGGTATGCTGCCACACGCCTGCCCAGCACTCGGGAGACTGAGGCAGAAGGATTGCTGAGAGATCAATGCCAGCCTAAACAAACAGAAAGACTTTGTCTCAAAAATAAAGAAATAAGTAAATAAGTAAGAAGACAATCTTGTCATACACAAAAATATGGATGAACCTTGAGGACATTATATCAAGTGAAATAAGCTAGTCAGAGGGACAGATATGGCATGATTCCACTAAACGAGGTATCTAAGTAGTTTGACTTACCAAAGCAGAAAGTAGAATGATGATTGTCAAGGGATGGAAGACCAAGATATCAGGAATTGCTGTTCAATGGGTATCGAGTGTCAGTCGTGAGAGATGAGAGATTTCCAGAGATCTGCTTATAGCATGGTACTTGTCATTAACAATGTTAAACATTGCACTTCTAATCCCAGCATTCAGGAGGCTGAGGCAAGAGGATCACTGCAAACTAAAGGCCAGGCTGGGCTACATAGCAAAACCTTGCCTCAAAAAACTTTTTAAAAAGAGAAGGTAGATCTCATGCTATATATTTTCACTACCATTTTTAAATTAAATTTACTTTTTAAAAGTTTATTTTAAAGAGAAATAATTTTTCAAAATAAGATAATAAGAGAGTAACAATGGTTAATACATTGCATATTGTTATCTTTAAATTAGTTACTCGAGTATAAGATAAAGGCATTTAATTGTCCAAACAGTATTAGCACAAACCTTTCTTTTCAATGAACTAATTTGTAGTATAACTACCAATCTTGTGTGTGTGTGTATGTGTGTGTGTGTGTGTATTGCTTTTCCCTTCTTTCTTTTTTCCTTCCCCCATCCCAGTTTCTCTTTCCTTTTGAACAATTTCTTCCCATTTTACAATATTTATTGTATACTTTGGATCTTATTTACTCTTTCAGCTTCTCACACTAGGGAGACAATACAATGTTTATACATGTGCATCTGGTTTATTTCACTATGAAGATGGTCTTGAGTTTCATCCATTTATGCATAAAAGTCTCCAGTTTATCTTTCTTTCTCGGTGTGTAGTACTCCATTGTATTAAAAGACCACTTTTTTTATCCATTCCTTAGTTGATGGGCATTTGGGTTGTTTCCAAGGTTTAGCTATTACAAATTGTGTTGCTATAAACATGGGTGCACATATATTGCTGTGGCATGATGTTTTTAATTCTTCTGGGAAGATACCCAGAAGGGGAATAGCTGGGTCAAATGGGACTCCAATCTGAGTTTTTTGAGGAATCTCCACAATGATTTCCACAGTGGTTGGACCAGTCTACACTCCCAGCAACAGTGGAGAAGGGCTCCTTTTCCCCATAGCCCCTCCAGCTTTTGTTATTGGTTGATTTCTTGATATTAGCCATCCTTTCCAGGGTGAGATGGAATCTCAGTGTTGTTTCAATTTGCATCTCTGGAATGACCAGTGATGTTGAATATTTTTTCATATATTTATTGCTGTTTGTATTTCTTCCTTTGAGAAGTATGTATTCATCTCAAATGCCCATTTTTAAATTGGGTCTTTAAATTTAGGAGTTCTGATTTTTTTGAGTTCTTTATATGTTCTCAATAGTAACCCTATGTCTGAGGAACAGCTGGGAAACATTTTTTCCGATATTGTGGGTTGCCTCTTTACACTGTTGGTGGTTTCTCTGGCTGTGCAAAAGCTTTTTAATGAGATGAGGTGCCAGTTGTTGATTCTTTGTGATAGTTCCTGTGTGACCAGGGTTTTATTCTTAAAGTCTTTGCCTATACCCATATCTTCAAGAGTTTTACCTAATCTATCTTCCAGCAGATTTAATGTTTCTGTTTTAATATTTAGATCTTTGATCCATTTTGAATTTGGTTTAGTGCATGGTGAAAGATATGGGTCCAATTTTAATCTTCAGCATCTAGAGAGCCAGTTTTTTTCCAGCAAACTTTATTTAAGAAGCTATCTTTCTTCCAGTGAATGTGTTTGGCCCCTTTGTCAAAGATAAGATGGCTGAGTATGAATGGAGTTGTTTCTGCATCTTCTTATCTGTTCCATTGATCTTCAGGTCTGTTTTTTTTTTGCCTATCCCATGCTGTTTTTATAATAGTAGCTTTATAGTAGAATTTCAAGTCAGGGATTGTGATACTTCCTCACCTTGTGTTTGTTGTCTAGAATTGCCTTCACTATTCTAGGTCTCTTCTGGTTCCAGATGAATTTTAGGATTGTTTTCCTCTAAATCTGTGAGATATGCTGTTGGAATTTTGATCAGAATTGCATTAAATATGTATAAAAGTTTTTAAAGTATGGCCATTTCAGTATATTGGCTCTTCCTACCCAAGAGCAAGGGATATCTTTCCATTTTCTGATATCCTCTTCAATCTCCTTTTCAGGGTATTGTACTTTTCAATGTAGAGATCTTTTACTTCCTTTGACGGATTGATTCTTAGCTTTTTTTTTTTTTTTGGGGGGGGGTGCTGTTGTGAAAGGTGCTGTTTCCCTGATTTGTCTCTCAGTGAGTTAGTTATTCATGTACAGGAGGGCTATTGCTTTTGAGTGTTGACTTTGTATCCATCTATGCTATGAATTTGCTTATTAAATCTAACATTTTATAGTGGAGTTTTTGGGTCTTCTATGTAGCGTATCATATCACCCACAAATAATGATTGTTTAACTTCATTTTTTCCTATCATTATTCCTTTTATTTCTTTTTCTTTATTTTATTTTTTATTTTTTACTTTTTTTTGGTACCAGGAATCAAACTCATGACCTCAGCCTTGCCAGGCAAACACTTATGCCACTGAGCTATATCCCGGGCCCTATTTCTTTCTCTTGTCTAATTGCTCTGGCTAAAGTTTCCAGAACTATATTGAATAGGAGTGGAGACAGTGGACATCCTTGTCTACTTCTGATTTTAAAGCTTTCAGGTTTTGTCCACTTAGTATGATGTTGGCTGTTGGTTTATCATAGATGGCTTTTATCAGATTGAGATAAAGACCATCTACTCTAAGTATCTGTAGGGTTTTTATCATGAATGCACTTTGGAATTTGTCAGATACCTTTTCAGCATTAATTGAGATATTCATGTGGTTTTTGTCCTTGGCTCTGTTAAAACGGTGTATTACATTAACTAATTTGCATATGTTGAACCAGCCTCGCATCTCTGGGATGGAGCTGACTCAGTCATGGTATATAATTTTCCTGATGATTTGCTGCATTCTGTTTGCCAATATCTTATTGAGGATTTTTGCATATTTGTTCATTAGGGAGATTGGCCTATAGTTCTCTTCTTAGTTGGGTCCTTCACTGGTTTGGGTATAAGAGTAATGCTTGCTTCCGGGAATGAATTTGGGAGTATTGCTTCCTTTTAAATTTCATTTCAGAGTTTGAGAAGTAGTGGTATTAAGTCTTCTCTAAATTTCTTATAGAATTTAGCAATGAATCCATCAGGGTCTGGGTTTGTCTTTGCTGGTAGGTTTTTAATTACATCTTTGATTTCATTGACTGATATTGGTTTATTTAGAATTTTTATATCTTCTTGATTGAGCTTTGGTAATTCATATGTATCTAGGAATCTGTCCGTTTCTTCTGCATTTTCCATTTTATTAGACTATAAGTTCTCAAAATAGGTATAGATAATCTTCTGGATTTCTGTAGTGTCTGTTGTAATTTTCCCCTTTCATTCCTAATTGCATGGACTTGAGTCTTTTATTTCCTTTTTTTGATAAGGTTGGCTAAGGATTTGTCAATTTTATTTAATGTTTCAAAGAACCAACCCTTAATTCATCACTTCTTTGTATTATTTTCTTAGTTTCCAATGCATTAATTTCTGCTCTGATCTTTATAATTTCTTCATTTGTATGTGCTTTTGGCTTAGCCTGCTCTTCTTTTTCTAGAAGTTTGAGGTTCACCATTAAGTTGTTTATTTGCCCTTGCTCTGTTTTCCTGATATGGATACTCACTGCTGTAAATTTCCCTCTGATAACTGCTTTCACTGTGTCCCATAAGATCCAACATGCTGTACTGTCATTATCATTTAATTGTAGAAACTGTCTAATTTCTTCTTTAATTTTATCTTTGACCCACTGGTTATTCAGTATAGTACTATTTAATTGCATGTGTTTATGAAGTTCTTGTGGTTGATTTTGCCATTGATTTCTTTTTTTTTGTTTTGTTTTGTTTTGTTTTGTTTTTTCTCCGGTACCGGGAACCGAACTCACGACCTTGCGCGTGCCAGGCAGGCGC